TACCAATGCAGACAATTGATGTAAAAGAAAAGATCCAGCTCCAAGCTGAAATATGAACAAAACAGTAAGCTTATTGGCCGCACAAAGTAGATGATATATTAATTAATTAATTAATTAATGAAAAGAAAGACTCACCATTGGTACATATAGAGTGAGATAGAAGATATTTTTCCTTCCTGTTGGCAGCAATTTCATTCCCTGCTTGGTAAAATGAAAATCATACACACAGTGAAAAGCTGAAGCTAAGACAGTAAAGGCATTGGCGTAAATTAGAAGTGGTAAATATTTATGGAAATCCATAACTAGTAGTTGCAAGGTCATCCAACCATAGTTTGTCAATCAATGAGTATCTGATGAGGAAGCATAAAAGTTGATATTCAAGCAATTCAATTAATGAGCTCTAATTAAGGAAGTAAACTTATAGTTGCAGCTATAAAGTTGCCCGGCACTGGAACAATGATATAGATCCATATTCTTTAAAATTCATGGAATTAAAATCAGTAGCTTCTTGCAACCAACAGAGTAAGACAAAGTACTTCAAATTTCAAAAAATATATTCTATGATAGCATTGAGATTTAAGAAAAATAAGTCAAAGCAAGAAGGAAGATTTAGTTAAAAAGCAACAAAAGCATAAGGTAATTGTGGAAGAAAGCCAATATACCTGAAAGAGAAGGATTATAATGACAAGAAAAATGCCAATAGCCATTGAACTGCTGTAGTAAAAAGGAACCCAACTGCTGACAAATGGTGCCAATAGCAACAACACGAATCCCAAAGCTAGAAAAAGAATCCGCCATTGCTGAAAGTCTGCAAAAACAGTAAAGAATTAAGGTTAAAACTAAAGTTACAATTTCAAATAACTAACAATCGCCATCAAAAGAAATATATATTCTTTTAAAGAAAGGCAAATAAAAAGATTTATACCTTCTTCAACAGCAACCGTGACAGAGCCAGACACTTCGCCAATAAACTTCACATCAATATATCGATCATCATAAGGTGACATGACAGTGTGCCATATCCCCTTTTGCACTGCCTTCCAATCATTATTCTCACACTTGCATAATCCAAGTGAAGCATTCCTGCAAGACTTTGTCAGTCAGGCCCAAAAAGTCACAACAAACTTTTGAAATATGCTCATGCATCGCCTAGGTGTCTTTTGTACATGTGTGGCGAATAGGAAAAAAGACGGATGCAGGAGAAGCAGAAAGCTGATAAAACAATAGATTGAGAGTCAAGACTTACTGATGAAAGCAAACTTGTATTTTGCTGTGTAATCGTTCTGGTATTAAGACAGATGGAGCCAAAGTAACCCGAAAACAACTGGCATAACTCCCGAGTTTTAACCTTGAGTGACCAGAAACTTGAACTCGATCACATAACAAAACATCTTTGGAACCACGAACAGATGAATGCCCAGAAAGGGGCGTTGGGGTGACATCTAGGGCTGGACTTGCCAAGTCGATGCCTGAAATTTAAAACCCATGATAGGTGAAACCACACAAACAAGCACAGCAAGAGTGCAAGACAACAAAAACACACACAGCAAGAGTGCAAGAAAACCAAAACACATGGCCCATAGCCATACATTATAAATTGCCATCGACCAACTGACATATCCCCATTCCCCGCTCTCAAATCGCTTTATACATTGTCTACATGACAGAACTATAAGAACATTGATAGGGTTCAGTTTTTTAATTAAATTAATTACAAAGCATCCGCTCATCATTCAATCCAAACATTTATTGAAATAGTACTAGAATCCTCCCATACCTATAAGCCCTTCCAACCGAAGTAAACAGAATCCCACATGTGACATGTCTAACCTTAGTAATTTATTTATATTAAAGCTATCATCTTTCTAGGAAGGCCTAAAGAAACCTGTGGGAAAGTGATTCTCACCGATAAGAAATGACAAATTTAAGTCACTTTTCTCAGAAGCCAAAGAATAGTATAGATAAGTACTCAAAGAGGGTTTTCATTTATCAAAACCCAAACTCTTGGTTTTCTTCTGGTTTCGTGTATTTTCTCGGGAACCAAACAAATTGAATCATTACGATTCAGAATTTCAAAACAAGCAATGAAGAACAGAACGTTTGAAAGATAAAACTGTTTCGAAAATTAAAGAAAAAAACCCAAAACAAAATTCGCTAAACCCTTTTTCCTTTTCCATCATTTAATCAGCAACCAAACAGCATGCTACTATCTAAAGATTGGAATCCCATGAGGAAAATGAAAAATAAAAAAACGAATAAAAAGAAAGATACCTTTGAAGTAGGTGGCCACGTGAGAAGCCCGTGCGATAAATAAGAGAGAGAATAAGAAGAAGAAGAAGAAGAGGAGAAGAGGAGAAGAGAAGGCCACCATCGTCACTCTCAGCCCCTCCTCCGCCTCTCTTCTCTCTGAGTTAAATGAAAAAGGCAAAAGGTCGATTGAAAAAGAAGGCGAAAATGAACCTTAAGAGGAAAGCGCGCTTTGTTTAATGCCAACTTTATCTACGTGTCACGTCCGCGTAGCGTAATTTAACATTACTAAACACTGATGTTAAGACATAAATTATACACGTGATTAAATAATTATTCACTTTTTGTATAGAAATTTATTTAGTTTTTACAACTACATACCAACAATAACCAGTAATTATGTTTCAGGTAATAAAATAAAACAAATTGCATAGAAAGTTCCAAATCAAACAAAGTTGCATTAAATTTTACAGTCTACAAATCTAGCAAACTTGAAGTTATGTTACAACACCATAAGATAGTAGTATAAAGATTCATTAACAATCAAAAGAGGAGGCAATTACTAAATTCAAGTAGTAATAAAGTTAGGGTTTATGCACTAATGTAATATTTCAACATTCTTCAAACACATATGACATATGTAAACCCTTCCCTTGACCTATTGATAAATTAACAAAAAATCCTAGTAGCATAAAAGGTTATATATATATATAGAGAGAGAGAGAAAAGGTAGCAGCTTATAACTAATTATTAACAAAATGATAAATAATGTAGATTCCAACAAAAATAATAATATATTATGAATTTGATCAATTATTAAAATTAGATTCAAATTTCAATATGTGTTTCAGTTTTGAAAACATAAAAGGAAAGAATAAGTGAGCTATTCTTCAGATGCACAAATTTGAATTGGTTGATTCCTCTTAATGGACTTGAAATGGTTTTAGCTTATAATTAATGTAATTTAAATATATAAGTAATACTTTATGAGGTTATTCATCTATTAAAAAATTTAAATCAATTTTTGTTAGGATTAATGCTCGAAAAATCTCTAAACTATTTAAGACAATTTAAACAAGTTCTTACCTTTTCATTGTATTTAATCAAGTAATTATATTTTTATTGTTGGTTAAATAAACTCTAATAGCTAATGATTTACTAATTATCATTAGTCAAAATGTCACTTGTCATTTTATATTTACATAACAATGATGTAACATTAACATGAATAGTGAAAATATTATATGATCATGATATAATGTCACATTAGTATGATACATTATTATCAATTATGACTTGTGAGTATACCATATGACATTTTGATTAAATCAATAATTAATCATAAGAGCTTAATTAACTCAATAAAAGTATAATGATTTATTTGTAATTTGGTTTGAAAAATAAAACTATAGGGATTCAATTGAACATAATAAAAAAAAAAGTTTATTTGAATTTTCATTTAAAGGTTTTTTATTTGTTATACACTCTTATTATTATACCACTTTCAATCAAGTTTTTATATATGCATTTGAGCATTTGGCTGATTAGTTGATATAATCCTCTTACTTAGTGAGCAAAGTTCAAATCCCCCTTCCTCAAATTAAAAAAAAAAATCTTTATATTTTTATTTTGTAACAAATAAGTGTTGTGATTATGATTAATTAACATTCAGTAGTAAAAACATATCATTTGTCATTTTATGTTGATATAAAAAATGAAAATGTAATATGGACATATCATTATATCATATCATTATTTATTGAAACATGTCAATATGTTATATGACATAAAAATATAAATATTATTTTGACTAATAATATTTATTCAACTATTAATTATAAAAACTTATTTAGTTTAAAATAAAAAAATAATAACTTGATTGAATGTAATAAAAGAATAAAAATTTATTTAAAATTTTTAAATAATTTAATTTTTTTAAAATATTATGTATTATATATAGTATTTTTACAAAATGAGAATCAGGAAACTACACAATTACATTGTTTCTAAAAAAGTAAAATAACTTCACTTTTTATGTTTTAATCGAAATTCTAAATGAATTTATTGGTTTTCGAAATGAACATTACACCTCAAAAAAATATCTTTCGCTGTATCTAGTTATTAATCAACTGTTAATGTTTTTATTAATTTAATTACTTAATACTATTAAAATAATAATTTTATTCTGTATTAATTTTAAAAATTACTATTATATAATTTTTATTAATTTTAAAAAATAAATGCCTCCGAAGAGAAGGGAACACTAAGCATCAACCAGTGCTCCCCTTCCGGGTGCTCTTTGCATTTTTTTTTTCAAAAAATTAATTTTTTAAATTAATAAAAACTAAATATTTTAATATTTTCATAATCTTTATTAACATAAAATATTTATTTTTAAAATTAATAAATTTGTTTAAAATTTTAATTAAAATTTAAAAATAGGAGAATATTTTACCTTTTTAAGAGTTATCATTAATTTTCAAATTTCAGTAATTCTTTTATTAAAAGAAAGGGATTTAAATTTTGAATTCTACATTAGCCAAATATTCATTATCTAATGGAAATTAAAAATATAGCGGATTTAAATCTACCAAATTTCATTAATTCTTTATTAGGAATTAATCAACATTGCATCTAAAATGTAATTGACGTGTAACTAAAGAAAAAAAATCCTGCAATTGGATAAATTAACCAGGACCCACAAATTCACGTGGAAAAATAAACTAGGACGAGCCGTCAAACTAGCAAAGATCAAAATCCAATTAAGGAAACAAAAAACAAAAGAGCACCAAAAGATATTTCTTATTGTATATCCAGCGACGAAGAAGATAAAACTTTGAGCTCACCTCTCTGTTCAAAACCCAGCAAAAACCCAGAAAAAATAAAAAAATTCGAACCTCTTTGTTTTTCATTTTTCATTTTTTAATAAGTAACTTGCTTGGAGGTTTTTGATTGAATGGGAACTCTCACGAGCTGTAGTTTTAGCGCGGTGAATTTCCGCTCCCGTTCCTGTTCAATCTTCCGCGAAAGAGTTCGCGTCGAGGTTTTCGAGTCGAGGAAAGTGAAGAGGAAAAATTTGTGTCTTTTATTTACAGGAATAATTTCCAAGGAAGTTTCACGGGAAAAGTTTTTCAAAATCAGGTGTTTTAGCGCCGGCAATAATGATGACGGTGATTACACGAATAATGATGGAGACATTAAGGAGAATAATACTTCTTCATCCAAAGAATCCATCGTCACGACGGCGTCGCCGCCCGGAGAAACAGCACAGGAGGAGAGGAGCATCGGCAATGACCCGCCTCCGTCTGTTTCCTCAAGGGTACGGTGTTTTGCTTCTTTTTTATTGTTGCATTTATTAGTGATATTTTAATAGTTAAATTTTAAAGGCATAAATTTAGTTGCCATTTTGAGAGAAAATTAGTGAAAAAATAAATGCAAAAAATTGTTTTAGGAAAAAGAAAGAAAAGGAGAGAAATGTTCATATAAAAATTAAATTATCATGGCAAAAAAAATGTCTGATTTTACTGTTACATAGAACAATTATGTTAGAATTGGTGCTGCGTCTTTGTCATCTATTCATGTTTAATTGATTCTTATCAACAACTTTTAGGAAGCAAAAAATTAATTTTAAAAAGCAAGTAATAACAAGTCAGTACCAACCAAGTAAAGCTTACTTTAATATGAATGAATATATATGGCTAAATTTTGTACAAAATAATGAGATGAGTGAAGAGAGTGAATGTTTGTGAGGATAGTGCGTGTTTGTAATATATGCAATGACATTTATGATTCTAATATATCAATGCTTTCCTTTTTTCAGCCACCAAATATAGCTCCTCTTGGATCAGCCTACAATGATTTCCAAATTGATTCTTTTAAATTGATGGAGCTTCTTGGACCTGAGAAAGTTGACCCTTCTGATGTAAAGCTGATTAAGGACAAGCTTTTTGGCTATTCGACATTTTGGGTAACTAAAGAAGAGTCATTTGGAGACCTTGGTGAGGGCGTCCTTTTTCTGGGAAATTTAAGAGGAAAAAGAGAAGATGTGTTTACCAAACTCCAGACTCAGTTGGCTGAGATTATGGGTGATAAATACAATCTTTACATGGTTGAGGAGCCTGATTCAGAAGCTCCAGACCCACGTGGTGGGCCACGTGTTAGCTTTGGTTTGTTGAGGAAAGAGGTTTCTGAACCTGGGCCAACTACCCTTTGGCAATATGTGATAGCTCTTTTGCTGTTCCTCCTGACTATAGGTTCCAGTGTGGAGTTAGGTTTTGCATCTCAGGTATTTTATTTTCGTGGAAACACTTTGACATTGATGCATTGATCTATAGAAGATAGAAGAAGCTATAATTTCTGCATTTTTCTGGATATACCATCTTTGTCAATCTGAATATCAGATATTGATAGTGTGCAATCTACTTTACAGATAAACCGACTTCCTCCAGAGATTGTGAAATACTTTACAGATCCAAATGCTGTTGAACCACCAGATATGGAGCTACTATACCCATTTGTGGAGTCAGCATTGCCCCTAGCATATGGTGTTTTGGGGGTTCTTTTATTTCATGTACGTTTATCCATGCTTTTTGATGGTTTCCTGAGCCAGTTTCCCTTTCCAGTTTTAGATTTGCAATTTGTCAATTATTAATCAGTTTCATGTCTGATATATTTTTTAAAAATTGTATGCCTATATGTAACATCACCAAACTTGATCTATTTTAGCTTTTACAATGCACTTATGTTTGCCTTTTCTATTTCATGAATTTTGTTGCCTGCAGGAAGTGGGGCACTTTCTGGCTGCTTTTCCAAAGAAAGTAAAACTAAGCATTCCTTTCTTCATTCCAAACATTACTCTTGGAAGTTTCGGAGCAATTACTCAGGTGAGTGTGACTTATTTCCTGTATGGCAACTCAAGGTAGAATGCTATGTCTGATTAACTTTAAATATTTTCTGTCTTGACAAGGTGCACTTTCTCAAACATCTGATGGTTGCCTTCCTTTTATACATAGGATACTCAAGCCACAAGATGCACAAACTTAATTTGTAGCTGTATGGCCTACATTGAGAATTGAGCAAGAAATTCATTATTCCCATGTCCCACTAACTTGAAACCTTTGTTTCATGTGGTGTAAACTGTCCTTATATGATCAGTAGTGATAGATGTGTAGTTGTTATGGTTTCTTAAGTTAAGCATATTGTCTTGAGATTCATCTTTTGATGATTCAAAATATCTCTCTCTCAACACACTTCATTCTTGTCTCTGTCCCTCTTACCCCCTCTTCTCCTCCTTAGAGTCAAAATGACCTTGTCTTTGTTTTCTGAAATATAATATCTTGTTTACATTTCTGGCACAGCATAAATATTATATTCTTGACTGTCAAATATTTTCTTTGATCTTTTCTTCAGTTATTTTCGGCTCAAGCTCTCTATATCTGTTTTCTTGGCTTGACTTGATACAAGGAATGAGGAATATCCAATTGAAATATTTTATCTTTTCAAGTGCTATCTCTGAAAGTGTTCATTAACTCTTACTTCCTGCAGTTCAAATCTATTCTTCCTGATCGGAGTACAAAAGTTGATATTTCCCTTGCGGGCCCATTTGCTGGTGCTGCATTGTCCTTTTCCATGTTTGCTGTTGGTCTGCTGCTTTCATCAAATCCAGATGCTGCTGGGGACTTGGTGCAGGTTCCTAGCATGCTGTTTCAGGGTTCGTTGCTTCTTGGGCTCATCAGTAGGGTGACTCTTGGTTATGCGTATGTCCTTTTGCTTCAACAGCTTTAAGTGCATGAGCTTTGATGAAATCCAAGGAGCCAATGATGTTGTTTCCTACTTTTCTTCTTGGATGAATCTAAAAGATGTAGCATGTGAGGTCATTGAGATCTTATTTTGTGATGAAAATATTTAATGGACAAATTATATTGTCGATGTGTAGGGCAATGCATGCTGCAACAGTATCAATTCATCCTCTTGTGATTGCAGGATGGTAGGGTTTAATTCCTGATTATCTTCTTACCTTCAATCTTAGTCTGGATTTTCTTGATATGCTTACCATACAAGTTATCATTGCAGGTGTGGCTTAACCACAACAGCTTTTAATATGCTTCCTGTGGGATGTCTTGATGGTGGAAGGGCTGTGCAGGTACCTTATTCTCTCTATCTTAGAGCTGCAGAATTATTATTCTTTTTTCTCCCTTACTTTTGCATCATACTGATAAGAGAGAACTGAAAAATTAGCATCTTCAAGTCATTAGCCTTTTCCCTTCTGTGCATCCTCAAGCTTTGATGATATCTTGGGATAATCCTACCATTGCCAGGGTAGGTTGGTGGAGAGAATATAGATAATAGGGTGAAATCAGGGATAGGGATAGAGGAAATTTAGATGGAAGTATAAGAAACAGGGGAAGTAAAATATGTAATTAATGGGGAGGTGAGCCTCCTACCACTTATATAAAGAAATTATCCTTTCATAGCCTAAAGGGAAAATGTATGTCAACAACTCTTTCTTTTCTTTTAATGTTCTAATAGTTGAGTATTTCTATTATCTGTCATAAAGGCCAATTGCTAATATGCATATTGTTCTGACATGTATAGGTTTTCTAATTAGACTGTTATTTACGCTCCAAGTGTTATAAACAAATTGAGATATGGCAACTTTAATTTGATCATGCATGAATTAGCTGTAATTATCTCATTCTATGTCCAAGATTTATGATAGTCACATTTTTTTCAGGGTGCTTTCGGAAAGGGTGCAGTGGTTGGGTTTGGTCTGACAACTTACACACTGCTTGGATTAGGAGTGGTATGCCCCTCCTAGTTAAAGTCATCCTGGACCGTGCATTATAACCAATTACCTCTATCTTTTGTATGATGCAGCTACTCTCTTCTATCTTATTTGCAGATTGGAGGGCCTTTATCACTTCCTTGGGGGCTCTATGTGCTGATATGTCAGGTATGCCAATCAAAACTTAGTAAAAGGATATAAAAAGTATAATCAAATATCATCTTTCTGATCATTTTACTTCAATCACAAACGCTCAGAGGACTCCAGAAAAATCCTGCTTAAATGATGTAACTGAGGTTGGAATGTGGAGGAAAACGGCAGTTACAGTAGCTATTTTCCTTGTTGCGTTGACGCTGCTTCCTGTATGGGATGAGCTAGCTGAAGAGCTAGGTATAGGCCTTGTAAACACATTTTGATATATATTACTATTATGTAGGATATTGAGAAAGAAATTAGAGTAAAGCCAATTTTGATATAAAGCCATATGAAATTCAAATGATAGCCAAAGCAAGTCATGTTTTCAATTTGTTTCTGTTCTTGTACATCCTTCTCCTTATTGTTTTGCCTTTTTTGGTTGCCTTGTTCATCATTTTCTCTTCATTGTTCATAATTTTTGGTTCCAGATTCATTGGAGTTTTAAACCTTTAAATTGTTGTAACATGTCCTCAACAGGATTTCTTTCGTCCTCTTTCTTGATAATTGTTGTCTATTAAATATGAATGCTTGATAATTGATTGGCATCGTCATTGATTCGTTTGAAGGATCGTTCATAATCATAAGCAACAATGCAAATTCAATAGCAAGTTTTTGAAGGAAAAGAAAATTGAGGCTGAAACAACAAATTCTATTGTAACCATTTTCCTTATTTAAAGCGGCAAATATTGGGTAACATTGCTGGAAATGGGATTGCCACGTTTGGTAGGCAACATTTAACATCGCAGGGAATGTTGCCTTACCAAGGGAAAGTAACTTCCCCATTAAAATGGAAAGGTAGTTGCCCTTTTACCCGACCCTTCTTCTCACCGCCCTCGGAAGCTCTAGCTGCTGTAGCTTATTGCTGCCTCTTCTCATCGGTTAAATCTCACCAGATTCTCGCCATCTTCTTCTTCTTATGCATTACACAGTTTTTGTACTAATTGTTATTCAATAAATCTTTCTTTCTTGATTCTGAAACTCAAATCAATTTGTAATTAGACAGGAATTGGGTTTAGGGTTTCACATTTGTTCTTGTAGCTTTTCGCTGTTGATATTTAAAATTGAGTGGTCAAAAATGATGCAAATTCATCTGTGCTTACCATGACAATTATGAGAAAACAGGTGGTTGTAACTTGTAACAGATTAACAGGATAATCATGTTAGCCGAAAAGCAAGTAATTCTGGCATGAAGAAGGCTTATCTTCCTATACATTTTCGTTTTTCATATATGAATGTGTGCATGTGGGCAGTGAATGCAGATGAGCTAGTGGCTTCAGATATATTTCTTTTCATTAGGTTTTGTTCAGATAGGTTAAGGTAGATTCTCAGTACATGCAAAAATTTCAGAAAGCAAGTCAACTTTTCACCACCCAGTTTTCCATAATCAAACATGTTCAACCACATAATCTTGATGTTTCTTCATGTATTAAAAGCACTTGTTGCTATATGTATCTGTTTATGGTAATTTTTGTTCTATTATTTTCCTATTGCATGTTAAGGGGGAAAGGATGACTAATCCAATGGAAAAGAAAAATAAACAGAAAAGTAGTTTTTTCTTTTTTCATGTGACTTGATCATCTAGCTGGTGGCTTATATAATTTAGATGCTTTCTCTTGGGATTTATGTGCTATAGTAAAAAAGGTTAGAATCTACAGCAAAAGCAAATTGTAGTATGATTAAGAGGCATTAACAGCTGATTATTGTCTTATTAACGTTACATGCTATATTGTTAGTTCATACAATGAAAGGGTATTCTGGAAAACAAAGTGCAATGATCGTAGCTGCTATTGCATTCGCCTTACAGACGTATAACATAATATTGATGATCCCTGCTTTTGTTAACGGGTATTGTTACATTCGTGCGAAGAATAGAAAGCGTAAAAGATCATGTAACAGAGCTAGTTAGGACAGGCATACTCAAATGAGCATCAACACTGGGACATCTACTTGTATAGTAAGAAGGAATGCAGTACTTCCCAAAACAGATATGTTGAAGATTAATTACTTCTAGTCAATGCCAGATGAATATCAGAGTGTATGTGAAGCTTGTGCTTAGTGGCGCGATTTAAAGCAATTACGATGGTAAGTAGTTATTAGTTATCAGCACTTTATGGTTTTTCTGGATTGTTATTATCTTTGAACTTTATGTTTAATGTTGGTGTTAGTTTAATTTGAACTTTAGAGCAAATCACAATGTCCATTTTTCTTTGTAACGTTCATGGACATTGAGCAGCAAAAATAATTGATTTTAATAGTTTTAGATATTATCACAAAATTCATAATTATTATAAAATATGGTTATTTTAAATAGTTTTAAGTATTATTACAAAAAATACAATTTTAGTAATTTCACGTATTTTTAAAATTTAAATAATAAGTATTCAAATGTTATTCATTATTTTAAAAGATAAAATTTAAAAATTTATATTAAAAAAATGTAAGTGTATTAAATTTTTTAAAAATTTTAATCAATACTTTGTCTTATATATCAAAAATTATAATCTATTATTTTTTCATCAATAATTTTTAAGTAGAAGCAACAAATCCAAATGAAGTCATTTCTTTTAGCCCAAACGCTTATCATAAATTAGCAGCTCTAACTTTCTAAACCGAAACAAACCAAACCAGATCACGCGCCGGTCTCCATGTTGCCGCCACCGCCCAAAAAATCCCACCTAAAGGAACTAGCCCCAGAAAGCCAAGGCTTGAACCAACCATTGTTTCAATGCGCAGTCCTGATCCTTCCATGGCTGACCCCTCAAGAACTGGCTACCATCTCCCTCACCTGCAAGACCCTTCACCAACTTGCCCGTTCCCTCACTCTCCACCGCTCCGTCGACGCTTCCAGATCCTTTGAAAACCTTCCCATCCCGTTTCATAACACAGTCGATCAATACCCATATGCCTACTTCATCTACACCCCTTCTCAAATCATCCCCTCTCCTTCTTTTCCTTATTTACAGCGTCAAGCTTGGGGACCCAACAGCTTACTGAGTCAACTCGGTCCCAACTCGTCGCAAGGTCAGGCCCTTTCTGGGTCGAGCTCTTCGGATGCTGAAATGGGTTGTGCTTATTTTCAACAGAGTCGAGTGGCTGATTTTTCGATGTGGGTGAGTGTGGTGGGCGAGTCGGCGTGCGTGTGTGAGAGGTGTTTAAAGGTGACTGAAGATAATGTGATTGGATGTCCGTGCATGGAGTTGGAGGGGGCCGAGTGGATGGGGATACTGAGTGAGTGTGGACCGAGTTGCCGATGCGGGTTGGAGTGTGGGAATCGGCCGAGTCAGAGAGGGATACGAGTTCAGTTGAAGATTGTGAGAGATATAAGAAAAGGGTGGGGCTTATATGCTGCTCAATGGATTCAGAGGGGGCAATTCGTCTGTGAGTATGCAGGTACTTAATTTGACAGTTTAGCCTTTCTTTTTTTCTTCAGTTACATATATTTTTACCCCAAAATGAATTTTTTAATACGAAAGGTTGTGATGATTTACTGTTTTAGTATCTTTCTCTCAGTAAGATTCAGTTGCTTTGGCAGAAGAGTGGTCACTTGTATGTGTTGTTTTGGGTAAATTGATGATTATTAAAAGATGGCTCTGTTTTTAAGAATAGAAGCATGAGTTTGGTGAGGGCTTATTGCCAGGAAATCCTATAACATTACAAGAAAACAATATGACGACCTGGAGAAAGCATAGAAATTTTGAAGTTTGAATATATGTATGTACATAATATAGAGACAGCACCATCACAAATTAATAATGCAGGCTACATGGTATTATATTCTCCTCTAGCAATGCAGCTAGCTTCCTGTTTCTCCCCCTTTTTCCCCCACGCTATTTTGCTTCATGTCACCAATGTGTAACAACTTGCTATCTTTACCAAAGTTGGGGTTGTCAATTCTTACTGATCAGGCTGATGGTTTGCCTTGTATCATCCCCATTTCTGCTTCCTGGTTGTTGCTGTTTGCACCTTCTTGCTTTCTGGTTCTTACTGTTCTACGACCTTGATCTTTCTATGCTCTGCTAAACAGAAAGCCATGTTAGTGTTACTGAATTAATAATGGTGCTGAATTTTTACGTGATTCAGAAAGCTGTTGCAAACCTCACTGGAGACAACATGCTGAGGCTTTAATTATAATTGTTTCTTCACCTCCTCTTCATCATCTCTCTTTAGTTTTGTTCTTTGTGCACATCATTCATTATCCTCAAAGCATTTAGAAGAACAAGCTATCTGGAAAAATTTTCTGGGAGAAATATTTTGGATGGAAGTAATTGTGTCTGTTGTTCCTCAGTTCTGTACAGCTGTCTGTTATTCCTCAGTTCTGTACAGCTGGTACATGTTTTGTATCTCTGGAGATCAGTCCTTAAATGCTGTTCTCTTTGCAATTTGCTTGCATAGGTGAGCTTTTGACAACCAAAGAAGCTAGGAGGAGGCAACAAATCTATGATGAACTTGCTTCAGGCGGTCACTTTTCTTCTGCTCTTCTAGTTGTGAGAGAACATCTTCCATCGGGGAAGGCATGCTTAAGGATTAATATAGATGCCACGAGAGTCGGAAATGTTGCTCGCTTCATTAACCATTCTTGTGATGGTGGTAATCTATCGACAGTACTTGTGAGAAGCTCGGGAGCTTTGTTGCCTCGTCTTTGTTTCTTTGCTTCTGAAGACATAAATGAAGATGAGGAGCTCACTTTTAGCTATGGGGAAATTAGAGTCAGGCCTAAGGGCTTGAAATGTTTCTGTGGAAGCTCTTGTTGTCTTGGAACTTTACCTTCAGAACATACTTGAAAGCACCCAAGCTGTCATTAATAGAAAGCATTGCTGCACAATTGCTGGTGATGTTCACAAAAGGTATATTGATTGTCTAAATGTATAGCTATGCCCAATTGATGGGCTAATCTTCTGTTGTGTCTTTCCAAGAGAACCATGCTAGAGCCTTTGCTTTTTGATAGTACAAGGAGAGCACCGCGACTTTAAATTTTAAATGTTTAAGAATTCTTTACTCAAAACTCTAATCCCTCAGTGTACTCAAAATTGAAGTTCTTCCTTTTGACAGCATAAATTACCTAGCTTGCTAATTGTACATGAATAGCAACAACTTGTGATCTTTTTCTCTATCTGTTAACTGTTAATTGTCTCAGAAAATCTACTCTGTCCTGCTCTCTTGCTCTTCATTTCTTTTCTCAAATACAACTAGAATATGTCTGTTCAAAGATGTCATTTGTTGTAGCTTGGTTGGCTTGGCATGGTACAAGTTCAGTGGGAAAAACTATTCTCAGTTCCATTTTTGTGTTGCTCAGACATGGGAGTGTTTCTTTTTGTTCTGTAACGAGTATTAGCAGAATTATACTAAATCTAGTAATGAAAATGAAGCTGAAGAACGCAAATAAGATGATACTATTATATAAATCGTTACTACAAGAAAGGGCTAAAGGCTGAAACTTCACAGCTTGGAACTTCATTCATGGCATGACATCCTTGCAAGTTTGGTAGCAAGCTACTAATCCCACACGCCACGGGCAGCACAAATCTTGTGCCCTCCCATAAAGACAACCCTCCTCGACTCTTACAAATGAAACTTCGCATTACTTTCTTTTACCATTTTTATATAATCCCCATATCTAACACCTTCATTAAACTACTAATTTAACCATGCCCCAACTCCCATCTCAAACAAGCCACTCCCTTTGCACGTGCCCCTCACACCACCCAGCCTCTTCCCATTTTACTACCCCTCCACCAACCATAACGCCCCAGCTCTCTTTCTGTATTTAGTTTTTATATTATAAAGTGTTTTATATTTGAAAAAAAAAAAACAAAAGAAAAAGAAAGAAAAGGAAGCTTACCACAGTTCTCTTGGCAACCCCATTCACGAGACAAACGTGCCGTCCTCAACATTTTTTCTCACATATAAGCAACCAAACTCACCACCTTTCTCATTTGCGCTCTCTTTTTAACCCCAACCCTAACACTAACATCCCTCAATGGCCGAGCCACAATGCCATGGCATGTCTGAAACTCGTAGGAAGGGCACCAGCAAGCGTGCCACCATGCCGGTAGAGGCTGATGAGCCGGTGGTGGCGGCACCTGCCCCAGTCCCAGCAGCACCATGTGGGGCATGCAAGTTCTTGAGGAGGAAGTGTATTAGTGGGTGCATATTTGCACCCCACTTTGGCTCAGACCAGGGTGCAGCCAGGTTTGCTGCCGTGCACAAGGTGTTCGGAGCTAGTAACGTGTCGAAGCTCTTGCTTCACATTCCGGTGAACCGGAGACACGATGCTGTGGTCACGATATCGTATGAAGCTCAGGCCAGGCTGTCGGACCCGGTTTATGGTTGTGTCTCAACCATACTTTCTTTACAACAACAGGTTAATCTACACATGCATTACCATATTAATTAGTTTCTTCCTCTTGGTTTTTTCAATGGAAACCAATTAAATCTTTAGAATTTAAACAAAAATATCAAGGAAAAAGACAGGAGAAGATGATTGTTTTCAGTGAAAAGTTTGCAAAATGATGTTGGCTAAGTTGTTTTCTTGCTATACCTACACCTTCTTTTAAGTTGCATACTGTTTGAAAAGGAACCAATGGACTCTGCGCCTTCACGTTTTTCTCATTCTATTAGCATTATGCTGGACCAAATTAGAGGTCATAATTATTAAATAAATGAAATTAATCTACTTTTTTTCTTTATTTGGGAAGAGAATTTCAGCCAAAAAAAGTCATGCACTAATTGTTGAGATAATTATTAAGACCTTGGAATTACTTACATTGCAAGAAAGTATAATCACAAATATTGAATTTCATGCTTACATATAGACTAGGCAATATGAGTTTAATATTGAAACAAGACCAGAGTTGCTCTCTGCACAGTTTTTTGTCATAAAAGTGAAAATCATATTATGATCTTCCTTAAATTATAAGGAAAATTTAGTTATTAACCGCAAGATATTAAGTTATTTGTGCTTTAATTATCGTTAGCTTAATGTTTAACTTTCCTTTACCAACTATAAGATCAACACCAAAAGAATGCTCCAATGATTTCTTAGTATAATAGTGCTAATCTGTCCAAAAATTTGCTAAAATATTCTTTATGATTGCTAAAAGTAATTCATATTCTATTTGCTTATAGTTGATAGAAGATCATGGTGATGCTTTTTGCAGGTAGCTTCTCTACAAGCTGAGCTAGCAATGGTGCAAAACCAACTGATTAACAGTCGATTTGCCATGGCAAATGCCCTCCAAAGCTCCCAGCAACAGCAGCAGCAGCAGCAGCAGCAGCAACAGCAACAACATATTGGATTGCTGCAGCCAGCGTACTCAAACAACTCCTCGGCTTCCAATAGCCTCATCAACATGAGCAACTTCACCTCCAGTTTTGACCTCGTAGCTGAAACTGCACCATCCTCTCAAAGCATGGACCGTCTCGATCAGCTCTCCAGGCCATGCCATGACGACGAAGATGATGAAGAAGAGAGCCGGATTCCGGCCATTTTTCGCCATTGAACTTATTCACCGGAGATAAACTTTAGGATTTTTTTTGTCTTTCCTTTATAAAATTAATAAAACTTTTATCTATATAGAGAATATATATGTGGCATGCCCATGCAGTGCTCCTCAGTACGTTATATGCAAAGCCATTTCTATTTGTATAACATCATTCCCAAAAGCATAACATAAACATATAAACCAAGGTTTATATGAGATATTATTAAAGGCGAACGACAAATTAATGGAATAATCTTATATTTTTCCTACTTGCTTAGGTTAGTGTGAGTAACCAAAAGGAAAGATGATAATATGAATAATTAAGAATAAAAAACAGAAGAAGAAAAAGTACAATTAGTCGGCAATGACGTGGCGAGACACTATTTGTCCGTTCCAAAACTTACCTAACCATGCAGTCACATCATCACTACCCCATGTTTTCATTTTTCATTTCCCTAAATCATCTTCGTTCTTTTCCACGCACAAATACAAATAAACCCGCACTCCCAAGCTGAAGAGGAGAGAGAGAGAGAGGAAGAAAGAAACGCAAGCTTGACCTCTCTTTGTGAAACCCGGGAAATCCCAGAGATGATTCTTTTTTAGATTTCCCTCAGATCTCTTTTTCTTTGTAAAAGAAATCTGGGTTTTTGTTTTATTTTTTTGCTTTTATCTGTTGGGTTGGTTTTAGAAAAGAAGGAAACCTATGTCTACCCCATCAAGGAAGAGGCTGATGAGAGACTTCAAGAGGCTCCAGCAGGATCCACCGGCTGGTATTAGTGGGGCTCCTCAAGATAATAATATCATGCTTTGGAACGCTGTTATTTTTGGGTATATTCTCAATTTTCTTCATTTCTTTGTCTTTTATTTGCTTCTTTTTTTTTTCTTTTAGATTTGGTTATGGTTTTTGATTTTTGAGTTTTTTTTTGGGCAGGCCTGATGATACTCCTTGGGATGGAGGTAAAAATTGTTACTTTTTTTTTGTCTTCTTTTTCTTGAACGTTATTAATTTTTAATTTTGTTTGTTATGCAATTGATGCTTTCTTATGGGCTTTTGTTGGAATTGTGTAATATGAGCTGCATTAATTATGTTACTTTTTGGGTTTTAGCTGAAAATTAATAAAATTGGATCTTTTTTTTTTTGCTTCGCTACCAGTTGCTTTGGTCGTTTTACCTTGAAATTTGAGCTGTTATGTATTTTGCTACATGCATGCATAAACTAGCATACATAGATCCATAATTCAGACGCACATGATTTACTTGAGTTGGTGAAGATGGAGTGTAGTTGAATCTTTGTGGAATCTCTTTAATTGTCCACGAAGTATTTGTGGTTTATGGTTTTAGAGTTTATTTTTTGATCCTCATGTGTTTTCTATTGATGGGGATGATGATTAATGTGAATTGACCATTGGCTTTGACTATCATAGCAATGGCATTTTCCCTGCTTTTCTTTGATGCTATCTGCCTTTGAATGTTTTTTTGGTCAGTTTAGTGCCAAGCATTAGCAAGTCACCTTCATTCCATTGCCTATTTGTTTAAATTTGGGAGTTTTCTTACCCTGTTACCTGAAATTGTTGCTGTAACTCGTGGAATTGTTACATTTAATAATTGGAACTTCAAACTGTGACCTTTCAAATGATAAAATTTGTTGCTATAACTTTGTGCTTTGACTGGAAAGACTGGAAAGAGAGTTTTAGGGCTTGGGTGGGTATAATGGGGTAGGGTTAGCAAGGTTAAGACTCAATAAAATTGTTGACTTTATGGTGTTTGGGAGATTTCATGTTTTCTGGTATCCTAGGTATCTTGTTTTCTATTGCCTGGTTATTCTTTCAGTTTACCTTCCTGGTGGTATTTTAGTTTTCATGTTTTTAGGATAATAAATTAGTTTGTATTTCTCATGTAACACGAGGAATTTCTTGAGATTTCTCAGGTACGTTCAAGTTGACTTTGCAGTTTACTGAGGATTATCCAAATAAACCTCCAACTGTCCGGTTCATCTCAAGAATGTTTCATCCAAATAGTATGTACAAGATGTTGTTCATTGATTTTGTTTGTGGCCTTAGCTGCAAATTGTTTTGTTTTGTTTCTTTTGCCATCTAATGATCAGTCATGGTTTGATCAGTCTATGCAGATGGAAGTATTTGTCTGGATATTTTACAAAATCAGTGGAGTCCAATATATGATGTTGCAGCTATACTCACCTCTATCCAGGTGCAGCATTCTATGCCTTTTTACCTTTTATTTACTTTCTGAAGAAATATTGCTTCTCCTCAATGGCTTCCTCGACTGTGATGTTTGCACTTTGTTGAATTTCAAATTAAAACTTTATGAGTTATCTATGTCTTTACACGAGTAAGTCATTCACCTTTGCTCATCCGATTTCCGCAGAAAAAAACCATTGATGCAATAAGCATACTTTTGATTGATATTCTGGTCGTCTCAATTAGATTTTTAATGCATATCAATTTTAGAAACCTTAATTGAAATTTGTTCGGTTATTAATATTTGCTGCATAGTCATTTGGCTGTTGCTGTGTGCCTGTGTTCAGTGTTTATGATTTTTTTTTTTTGAAGAAAAAAGTTAAGAGAAAGGAAAGATAGATGTGACATGTAAAACGTACAAGGAGATTCTTTGGCAGCCTAGGCACATGGCAAACATAAAAGGTTTAGAAAAGCCACTGATTGGGCTCCTTGAAAATAATTGAACCGTGGAAGCATGACATCTCAAACTTTAGTCCTTTGGAAAGGACTGGAGTGGTTGTGAGGGTAATGCAATATAAACTACGGATGTAGGAGGAGACATGTGTGCTAAAGATATATGCTATATATGCAGGCTGTAGGGCTATGTACTGTGATTTAATGGTTGGCCAAAACTTGGAAATGGGCAGGGTGTCATGTCCCTCTTACCTTTTATTTTTGTTTATTTCTCCTTTTTAGCTGCCCTACAGTATTTTGTCCCTGAAGAAAAGTCAAATGTGTAGTCATTATCAAATTTCTTGTCATAGATAAGAATGTCTTGGTGCTTTAAACAAAGTGCTTATCCATGATGGACCAAACTTCAAGGATTGAGGTGTTCTTACCTGTGTACATAAAAATATGCTCTTTTTATCATGTGAATACAGGTGGTCAGATGTTAGTAGTGTAAGCTTGTGTGATCACTCATAGCTTTGTTTGACCTGGAGTATCAACAGACTCAATAAAACGAAAGAGTGACCTATGTGGTCCTAGTGGCATATATGCATTTAGCCTTTAATGTATTTCAAGAATTTTGTATGATGCAAGCGGACTTGTATGTTCACTAACTTTTTCAAAAGATACTTGAGGGAATGGCATCAGGCACTATGGCCTGAGCTTTGTTCTGTCAACTCTCCATTTTCTAACCAATGAAAGTAATGAGTCATAATGTCAGAAAGGGTGCTGCCCTGTTACGTATTTACCTGGAAGCCTAGAAGGGAAATATACAAGAGGGCACCAAAAACAGTTAACAAGGAGACAGAAACAAGTCCAGTTCTTTTAAAATCTAAGTTATATCTCTAGGAGCCAGTTTTTTAGGAAGGTCAGTCATTAAATTATCGCATTTGATTGGAATAACTTTGAAATTTGTGATTAAGTTGTAGTGTGTTGATCAACATCAAGCAAGCATTTGGAAAGTGGGTTCCAATCAAGAATCTGTTGTGTATAGATGGTTTCTTGTTAACTGTCATTATGCAGTTTGATCAACTTAGTTTTCTTAAAAGGTGAGAGAGGTTCTCAGTTAATGCAAATTAAAGATGCTAATGACATTGTTGTGCTTTTGCCAGTCTCTACTTTGTGATCCAAACCCAAACTCTCCAGCAAACTCTGAAGCTGCTCGTATGTTTAGTGAGAATAAGCGGGAATACAACCGAAGAGTGCGTGAAATTGTGGAGCAGAGCTGGACCGCTGACTGAGTCCAGTAAAGCACCAATAACCTGTGTCATTCTGTGAAAATAAAATGTGCTGGTGGTGCTTGTGAAGTTGAAGACTGTTTTCCAAACCTTTTGTTAGGGAGTGGACTAGTGTAGTCTGTTTTCGTGTGCATTGTGCAAAGACGATTTTTTTGAATGATTTGATTTCTGTCTCTTAGACAGCTTTGCTTTTGCTGATTTCTGAATGTTGAATCCTATTCTTTACACATCTTTCTTGTAATGTGGCTGTCAGTTTCGCTAGTAGCATCTGTATATGAGTATCTTTGTGGTACTAATGTCCCAGGCAAGAGAATCCTTGCTCTTAGAGACCAAATTGGAGGAGCTTTTCATTGTAATTGAATTAGTAAGATAATTCAAACAATGTGAATGGCTGCTAGGAACTCCTGTTTTTGCTTAAATCTAGTCAGATTTGCTGGTTGTTTTGCTTATCTTTGTGTATAACATGCGCTGTGTTTAGGGTTCATTAATGTTGGGTATAATGTGACTACAAACGTTTTGTTTTGCATTTCCTCCTACTGCCATTAATACTGTGGACCCCTTTCTGTAACAAATGAATGAAATGTAAGCTGCATTTTTAAAAATATCCACAAAAAAAGGATGACAATGTTGCCATATATTTTAATCAATCTGCTGGATAATGTCAGGTATGTGAAATAATGCAAGACAATGTTGCCATATATTTTAATCAATCTGCTGGATAATGTCAGGTATATGAAATAATGCAACCTCTGGTTGAATGCTCAGTGATTTCAAACAAAACTGTCTTTGGGCATTTGTCATTTGATTTATTTCTTTCATTTCTACATATTGTTTATGATAATCTACAAAGCAATGATAGAGAGCAGATGCAGCTAATCCATGGCAATCAGGGTTGGCAGCAATTGTTCAGATAGTTATTAAGTTTAATTATGAACTTACTGAAAAAGAATTTAAGACGATGGTATGGCTAAAAGACAGCTTTCTGCATTTCTCAGAAAACTAGTATAGACAATTTGGTTCTGCAGTTTCCAACTTGTCAAGTAACTATATAACTTTGAGAAATCACAAAATGAGAAATAGGGAGAAGTATGAGCCTGTGACTGTGAGGAGAAAAACCCTCCCAAGGCTTAGATAGCTGGAATGAAAGGATTTAGCAGCACCAGTGAGAAATCCTCCTGAGTCCTTGCTAGGCAGGGAGGATAGAAAGGGGACATGATGGAAAATTTTTTAATCCAATGGTCAAGTTTCGAAATATGGTACATTGTACATAACCAATCAACCATTGGATTAAAACTTTTTCCTACCTTCCTCTTTTGCACCCTCCCAATCCAGTGGAGCATTTTCCCTACTATCCTCTTGTGATTGCCATATCCTGCGCAGAAAGATTTTAAGGTTTAAGTTACTGCATGACATTATGAAAGACCCTAGATTCTACCTTCATCAATTTGTGATTATCGTATGTCAAAAGGAAATTACAGATTCAGTTCACATTGACAGCGTAACAGAAACACAAGTTTAACAGCCTGATAATAGAAATACCTGAAAAGTTACTGCTAACGGAAAGCAACACGAAGGTGTGGGGCTTGGGAAGGAGAACCTGGAGATCCTTCACTGCTCTGTGAATCTCCCCGCCATGCGTCTTGAACTTGAGCAGCAAATTGCAAGTTCCACAGCACATCCTCAACCGAAGGCCTCTCTGTAGGGTCCCTTAGAAGACATCTGACACAAATTTCCATCATTGTCTTCAATGACTGATCTGAGCAAGACTTCTGAACTGCTGTATCAGCAACGCTTCTTCTAGTTACATCATCAGTTGCTAAGATTGCTTGTAACTGCACAGGATTAAAGGACAATGAATAAGGAAATGTTTGAGTTTCTTTGTACAGTCAAAACCTATATAAGTTCTTATTGCATAAAGGTGACACAACATTCAATTATCTGCTACTAGGAAGCAGCTATGACAATAATTCTCTCTGTTGCTTCTAATTTATCAAATAATATTGTCTGCTAAACAAGTATTATTTGGTGGCCAGAAACAAGTATTATTCATGATTTCCATCTAACAATGCAAAACCTAGTGCTTCTAGAAAAGAATGACAAACAATTGACAAGAATAAGAGAATAATTGTGTCCTCCTATGCTAGCATTCCAGGAAAAGTCCGAGAAAAAAGAAACGAAAATCTTTCTTCTTCCTCTTCCTGATCCCTTTAATGAACATTACAAAACATTGGCTGACCTCTTTGACAAAAAGGTCATTAAAAGTGTAACACATATATCTGTTTGAGACTAACTTGTATGAGTTCTAAGTTCATATCTGAATTTCAATGTTTCTGGCGTCTGTCATGAATGTGCCTTTTTTTTGGTGATGAGAAATGAAAAAAAAAAATGGAAAGAGACTTGGAACTCACAATTACAACAAAGCAAAACTATGATTTACCTGGTTTTTAAGAATTTGCACCTCATTCTTGGTTTTCAGTGGCCTCCCCAGAATCATTTCGAGTAAAATCACTCCAAAATCATAGACATCAACCTTATCGTCATAGCTTACCCTGTCAAGTAACAAAAGCAAAGGCAACATTTTAATGAAACATCATATTTTAGATGGTTCTATTATTCACACAGACTTAACTCTGTAGGGGATGAACTTTGAGGGAGGGAATATGATAGCACCATTTCACAGGAGGAATGATTGTGTGCAGAATTAGAGTTCAAATTAATGGAAGTCTTTACTTATACAAATAAATGTTATTGATCTTGAATACAAGAATTTTACCTCTGAACAAATCATATACAGATAAATACAAGTACGATGGTATGTAGTCACTTGTTCGTGAGAATTTAAAGGGCCATTTACATGCTAAAAAGTAATATGGGCATCTTGGTTGAACAATATCTGTTTAAACTATAACTGTAGAACTTCAGTCTCATACAGGATATGCCATTACAAACCTTGCACTATTACTTGGATCCTTGGGTAGAGCAAAAGTTCCATGACCAACCTGCAAGAATGAGTAGGACTAAGTATTATCTCACAAGGTTCACTTCAAGGAAGCAAAAAGTCCCTACAGAACTAATATATCTGTTAAATTTTTTTAAAAAAATTTTCGTCATTGCTCATACCTTTCCTGCACTCTCTGCTAATAAGGGCAGGTTGTAACTGCTAATTTTTGCAGCAAGGTTCTGGTCCAACAAAATATCAGTAATTTTCAATTTGTTTGAGTACACACCAGGCACGATCCCTGTGTGCAAAAATTGGATGCCCTTTGCTATCCCTATTGCAGCAGATATGCGTTGAGCCCATGTAAGTGATCGTCTGGCATGTTCTTCTGCCAACCAGAATGTAAGAGATAACAAACCATCCAAACTATAAATGATAAAATAAGCATTCAGGTCTTCTGGATGGAGGACAGGAAAATGAAATGTTGCTTTTATGTCTCTAAAATGTAAAACAGATTGGATGCTGTTGTCTTGTTGATGAACAACAGCTAAACAAACTGAACAAACCAGTTACTCATTTTGATAACCAAGATAATTGCTTCACACTTATAAATGATCCACTCAAATAATCAAAAGGTGCAGAAAAGAATTCTTCCAGTCAAAGAATAAAGAAGCGAAATTTCCTCAAGAGGAAAATTCATGTGTCCGATCACACTAAAATTTAGCCTAAACCAGTGCAGAGAAGAAGGTTTCAAACAGTGTAGCCTCAAATATTTTCTGTAGAGAAAAATTTAACATAGAGATTTAGAATTACCAGATATCCAGCTCCTCAGAGTGCCATTTGGTACATATTCAAAAATGAGAAATATTCTGCTGACACTTGAATCATCCAAGTAGCACTCAAAGCAGTGTCCAAGAGCACTAACTAAATGGCGATATCTTAATTTTGAAATCAGCTCTACATGGTGCATAAAGCTTTGAGTGCTGTGGCTTTTCTTCATTTTCAGGCATCTGATGGCCACAAAGGTGCCATCTTTCAGCCGACCTCTATACATCTGAAATCGTAAATGGAATATGTTAAGGGATTTACAAAGGAATTTTTTTTCCCCATTTTTAGATGTAGATAATAAGAATAAAGACAAAACCAGGGCCACTAAAGCTATTCAATGATTTCACAATGTACATTCAAGCACATTATGCTTTTGGAAATTGCTGAAGCACAGGCTCACTTCTTACCATGTGTTGGAATTAGTTTTTCAATGACAAGGCTACTGGGATTTGAAAATCAGTCCACCACTTTAAACAAACTTTGATACCATATCAGAGAATCATTCAACTTTCAATTCAGTTCATTATAATAGAAGTCAATGGGCCAGCAATTGGTTTTAAATTTTTAAAAAAAAGGAAAAAAAATGCAAAAGGGTTGATCAAAAACCAAGAAACAAAGGACAAAGGTTATTTAAACCAATATTCGTTTACAAAGCAGAAAGCCTGGAAATAAGTCATATGGAGCCAACCAGACAGAAAAGTCTGGTATGAGAGGAAGTGTAATAAGAAACCTAGCACAAATGTGAAATAGAACTTCATGAATATGGTTGGAGAAAATCATGGGAGTAAAATATGCTGCCACAATGCAAAAATATCAGGTATATGTTAACCATATCACATACCTGCCCTTGAGAACCTTCACCCATGAAAGCAGTTGTGTCAAAGTTGTTTGTAGCATCCTCAAGTTCTTCCAATGAAAAGGTTCGATAAGCTGGAAGGCCAAGTGCTCCCAGCTTCATTGTTTGAGATATATACCCTTCAAGTAGCCAAAAATCATGTGATCAGAATTGCAACTAATGAAAACTATGGTAGGCCACATTCATTATTTATTTACTTATTTTTTTGTTTATGTTTTCTGCATTGCATTTGAACTGATGCAACAAGTGAGATGCTTAGAGGGTTGTTGAATCTAACAATTTCATATTCAACAAGTGACATTTTGTTAAACTTTGATATTTGAACTACAACCTGAACAAGTCTTCTTATGACCCAACTAAAGATAACTTTCATGGTCATGCACATCTATTTGGAGTCATTGTTCGTAAATAGAGAAAGAGAGGCAGAGAGGATCCTTACTTGCATCAGATAGTAGCTTTGACGTGTACCCGGTTGATGATGCTTTCTCTGCAATCAATCTTGTAGTAGGTTTATTGGTTGTCTTCTTTGCATTCTGCCTTCTAACAAATATGAAAATGAGACCAAGAAGCACTATTCCACCAATAATTCCTCCAGTTATGCCCAAGGAAAGAGCTACTTTAGAAACTTTACTCTTCTTATGCTGGGGTAAGATTCCCACAGCTAAGGCTTCATTTCGACAGAAGGAAAGTGGATGTTGATTTTCCTTTCCAGTTGCCAGACAATTCCAAGCATACAGGAAGACTCTGTCTTTAGAATCTGAAAGACAGCTGGGCAAGTTTCCAGTCAAAAGATTTGAGGATAAATCTGCAAATTCTAGTTCCACATT